AAATGGCAAAGGAACTAGAATAGCTAAAACAGCTTTGACAAAGAAGAATAAAGTGGAAGGAATCAGTCTACCTGACTTCAAGACTTATTATATAGCTATAGTAATCAAGACTATGTGGAATGAGTGGAGGGATAGACACAAACATCAAAGAAACAGAAAAGAGACCCAGAAATAGCCCTATACAACTGATTTTTGACAAAGGTGCAAAAGCAATTCAATGGAGGGAAGATAATCTTTTCAACAAATGATATTGGAGCAACTGGATATTCATAGGCAAAGAATGATCCTTGACCAATTCTACATTTGTCTGGGATATTTGGCAACTCTATATCCAGGATCATGTTCAACTTTCATCCCTTCTCCAATACACATCACTGTGAACAGAGCAAAGGAAGCAACATTCTTCTCATCCTCATTATTTCTCTTTCCCTGCCACCAGGCAGGGTACAGGAAGCCTGTGTCCCAGGATGAAAACGTCTTGGAATCTGTTGAAGGAATAACTCTGTAAGGAGATAAGTCAGATATCTGGAGACCTTAGCCTGATATCCTGGACACACTTGGTTAAGCAGTTTGTTTTTTTGTCAAGTTGACCAAACTGGAGTGCGTGGAATCTCCACAACAAGAAAGTTTACGGTGCCTGTTCATGGCCTTAGCTGCTAGGTTCTCCTGCTGTTAGGAGAGGCTGGCCCTTTGAGGGGCTGCTTCTGGGGGTAGTGCTGGGAAACAAGACAGGTGACTGGGAGTGAGGCCCATTCCCTTGCACAGAGACATTTTGTCCCCCATGAACATCTGGGCCCCGCCAGGTATCATTCTGACCTCTGGGGAGAAGGGGCCTCTCCCTCAGTGTGGAAGGCACTGGACAGAGAGGCAGTGGGAAGTTACGGGCCAGAGGGATGGGAAGACACGGATAGTCACAGCTACAAGCCCATTGTCTGAAGCTGAATATATTTCAGGAGAGATTTTGTCCTAAAATCTAAAAACTGGAATCTTAATTTAATACACAATAATCAGGAAATGAGTTTGGTTCTTAGGGGATGGATACAACCACTCTGACCAAACGAAGCGGAGAAAGCCTGAGAGATGCAATCTCTCTCTCGCATTCTTTCTCAAGGCCAAGTGTGACCACAAAAGGAGAGATGCAAGTTCTCAGAGGAAAACGATGGTGATGGTAAGATACACACCTAATCCTCTGTACAAATACGTATATATAATCCTCACCTTTTAAAGAAGCTTTAAGTAAGAATAAGAATATTTATGCTGGGAAATTGCTGCATATCACTATGTCATTGTGGTAAATGAGACTACCGATTTACTTACTAATCCAGAACACATACTCATCGCACACAGCTGGAGGGTGGAAAACTTGAATGGGTGGTGTGATAATGATTTACTGGGGATTCTTGTCTGAGCTTTTTGATGCTAGAATCATCAGCCAAGGGTGTCTTCTTCAACAGAAAAACAGCTCTTAGTAATAAGCTAACACCCTGTGCCTGGAATTTAATTCACATGGCAACCCTGCAAAGTAGGAACAAGGCAGGAAGTTTTAGTCCCATTTTAAGAGGAGGAAAACAGAGGTTTAAGAGGAGGAAACAGAGGTTTTGAAAACACGTAGCCCACTCCAGGGCAGAAGGACGGGTCTCACATCCAGGTCCGTTACTTAAAGAAAATGTTAATTAGACTTAACTTTGGATAGAAGACTTACAGGTGATTTTTAAGTTCTTGATAGTTTTCTGTATTTTTCCAATTTTATACAATAAACTTGTATTACCTTTTAGAATTTGAAAAGTCATGGTAAGAAGCTTTTTTTTTAAGCTATAAAGAAGCCAGGAGGAATCCAATGTGACCCTCCATTCAGGTCCAGTGGGCTCAGTCCCGCCTTCTGCCATCTTCTTCAGGAGGAGATGAAAAAGGACCTGCTACCAGCAGCTGTAACACTGAATCCTTCTCTAGAACGCTTGGGCTGCCGTTGGAAGCCCCTGAAGGCTAACCTTCTCTGAATGGGCTGGGCTCCCTCAACAACACTGGGGAATTCTGGAACCTCTCCAGTCTGGGGATCCCATTCCCACGGGCCTGAGCTAGTCCTGGAAATCCAAGCTGGAGTGGACTCCTAGGACTACCTTAGAGGGAGCTCATTCTCAGAACTTAGAGGACACTGTTAATGATCTTAACAATTAGTAAATATCTTCTATGTACTGAGCCCTTTCCTAAATCCATTATATACATTATCTTATTTGATCCTTACAATGCCCTGAGATAGGTACCATTATTGCCTCCATTTTTACCATGAGGAAGTTGAGGCTTAGAAAAGTTAAAGGAAGTTCCTCATGGTCACACAGCTAGTTTAATATAGAGTAAGGATTGAAAGCCAGACAGTTGTTTTTAGTGTAGTTATGAACTGAACGTTTGTGTTCTCCCAAAATGCTGAAGTTCTAATCTCTAGCTGCTATATTTGAAGATGGGGCCTCTAAGGAAGTTTTTAAGGTTAAATGAGGTCATAAGGTTGCCCTGATCAGATAGGACTGGTGTCCTCATAAAAAGAGACATCAGAGAGTCTCCCTCTCTCCCCTACGCCCATGAACAGAAGAGAGGCCATGTGAGGACACAGTGAGGAGGCAGCCATCTATCAGCCAGGAAGAGAGTCCTCATCAGAAACCAACCCTGTAAATAATGGTCCTGCCGTTAGATCCGATCCAACACAAGACTGTCAGCTGCCCCCAATCCTCTGGCAAACTTCCAGCTTCAGACTGGGGGCAGATGTGGTTACCAAGGTCTCAGAACACT